ATAACCAGCTCTTAAGAGTTTCACATCCCTTCCCGAATGAGCCGGGTTCCCAACCCAGCGGTGTCTTGATCCCTGTACTAGTGCCCAAGCTCTCACCTAAACAGGCCACTTTGCGGTGACCCTGCCAGCACCCTAACGTGAAATGAAACAAAACCCGCCTCGTTAATGTCAGACATGCAGACAACGACCATCTCACGCCTCCCACTCGGCACCAAACATCAAGGAACCACGCACAGTAGCTTTAGCCACGGAGAAGCTTTAGGGAGCTGAGGACTGAGTTGGAGGGACAGGTCCCTGTGCAGGACAACCAGAGCCCCTTTCCCTGCTAAGCGTGTCGCCCCTTCGTCCACAGTCGTGTTCGGGCAGTTCGCCTACTTCCAGACAGCACTGAGCGACGTGGCCGAGTTGTTCGACGGGACCCACCCGCAGGCCCGGCTCCTCAGCTCGCTCTCCGGGTCCCACTCAGGTAAATGCCAGAGAACCTGCTGGTACTTCTGTTCAGATGGGCGTGTGGCTCGTTCTAAACTCCGTGTGTGTTTGTGTGCTTGTGTGTTCGTGCGTGTGTGTATGTGTATGTATGTGTACGTGTGTGCATGCACACATGTGCGTGTGTGTGCACGCACACATGTGCGTGCACGCGCGTGTGTGTGTGTGTGTGTGTGTGTGTGGAGAAACTTAGTAATCCTTGAGTGTGTTGTTTGTTTAGTAAAATCTTCGCTAAGAAATGTCCAGTGGACCTTTATCCCATAGACAAAGCCGTCTGCTTTGATTGTCCACTTACTAAGATTACAAAAAGTAGGCTATCCCTCTCAATAAAAGTGGAAAATATCCAAGAGAAAGGATTGACTGGGATGTTTTTAATTTCTATTCTATGTGTTGGGAGCTTCTTCCTGGAGCTAAACAGTATGAACATTTTGGTCTCACTCAGTTGACCCCTGCAAATACATATGTTTAGACCAGGAGGCCTCAAACTTTTTAAACAGGAGGCCAGGTCGCTGTCCCTCAGGCCCTTGCGGGGCCGGACTATAGTTTAAAAAAAACTATGAACAAATTCCTATGCACACTGCACATATCTTATTTTGAAGTAAAAAAACAAAACAGGAACAAATACAAGATTTGTATGTGCATGTGGCCCGTGGGCTGTAGTTTGAGGACCCCCAGTATAGACCCACTACATCCACACGTGTAATAGTACATGTGATTATCACATGTGTGTATGCACGCATCCATGTATGTGTGCGTGTAAACATAGTTGGGCTTCATGAAGCACAGAATATTGGTTTACAACTTATTTGTTCTCCATATTTTCACTTGAGAGGACCTGTGTAGGTGTCCCCATCAGACCACACGTGCGGCCAACGTCACGGTGTTTGTTCCGTGTGGTGTTCAGAGGCAGGTGTGTTCCCTGGGCCTCATGACCCCGGCCCCTGTCTGAGACCTTGCCGTGTCCAGCAGCCACCCGAGCACAGTGGCCCCTCTGTGGCCATCGGTCAAGGCCTGGTGGCTCCCAGTGTCCACTGTCGTTAACCAAAGGCCGCAGGGCCCGCGTCTTGATCATTTCTACCCAAGTCCAACGGGCGCTGTCAGAACGGCATCAGGAGACGCCATTGACAACACGGACACACGGAAATCCCACTTCCCTTAGGGACCCATTGAAATCCCACTTCCCTTAGGGACGCATTGAAATCCCACTTCCCTTAGGGACACATTGGAATCCCACTTCCCTTAGGGACCCATTGAAGGCCCACCCCCCTTAGCGGCCCATTGAAGTCCCACTTCCCTTAGGGACACATTGGAATCCCACTTCCCTTAGGGACCCATTGAAGGCCCACTTCCCTTAGGGACGCATTGAAATCCCACCCCCCTTAGGGACCCATTGAAGTCCCACTTCCCTTAGGGACCCATTGAAGTCCCACTTCCCTTAGGGACCCATTGAAATCCCACTTCCCTTAGGGACCCATTGAAATCCCACTTCCCTTAGGGACCCATTGAAATCCCACTTCCCTTAGGGACCCATTGAAATCCCACTTCCCTTAGGGACCCATTGAAATCCCACTTCCCTTAGGGACCCATTGAAATCCCACTTCCCTTAGGGACCCATTGAAATCCCACTTCCCTTAGGGACCCATTGAAATCCCACTTCCCTTAGGGACCCATTGAAATCCCACTTCCCTTAGGGACCCATTGAAATCCCACTTCCCTCAGGGACGCATTGAAATCCCACTTCCCTCAGGGACCCATTGAAATCCCACTTCCCTCAGGGACGCATTGAAATCCCACTTCCCTCAGGGACGCATTGAAATCCCATGCCCTCACAGGCCCGGCAGTGAGCTCTGAACCTGCTTTAATCCGAAGGCAGACATGTATTTTGTGAGGTTTTTCCGAAATCCTTTCATTTTTAAAATCGCAGCTTTGGACTCAGAGACGTTTCGTTAAGTAAAACCTCAGCGAGTGAGTGTCAGACACGGTTGATTCTGCGTCAGTGATTAGTCAGCTCTTAGTTTCCCGCCTGATCGGCTGCCAGGCCCATCATCCCTGAGCTTTCCCAAACGAAAGCGGGTGAGATCCCGGTTGGAACAGCACCTTCATGGGACGCGTGGGCGAGAGCAGAGCCGGACAGTCCTTCAGGAAAGGATGGGCGGGGGTTGTAAGCCCTAAAGTGCGGTCCCGGGAGAGTTCAAAGCCTGCACGTCACCTTCCAAGCGAGGGGCTTCTCGTTACTGTCGCCCAGCGGCGTGCACGTGCGGATGCGCAGTGTCTCTGTTCTCCCGCAGGCGAGACGCTGCCCTTGGCGACGTCCAATCAGATTCTGCTCCGATTCAGCGCGAAGAGCGGGGCGTCGGCCCGCGGCTTCCACTTCGTGTACCAAGGTAACCCTCCGGCCACCCTGCCGCCTCCACCCCCGACCTCGGGCTCCCGTGGAGGCACAGACAATGCCCCACTTCCATTTTTTGTTTGTTTTTTAAGAAATTGAAGATATTCGTTTATTTATAACAAAAGTATTTTATCAAAATATTAAAAATTTTAGTTTGACCCAAATCTATTTCTACTGCAAAGACAACTGTCCCCTGATTTCTCTGGCCCGTGCAGGCAACACATAGTGTGCAGAATACTTTTGCAGGGCACCTCCCACTTTGCGAAACGATTTCAACTATATTTCAGTTTATCTAAGAAAAATATTTCATAGAAGTGTAGATTTTAGTAACTTTTAAGGGAATTCATAAATGTATGTTTCCAAATCATATTGCAAAAGCTAATTGAAAAGGCAATTTAACAGAACCCAGTAAGTGTCCCCGCGTCTGTCCCTCTAAACAACTACTTCGTTTTGCTTGTGTTCTGTTGCCTTTAGGATTTCCGCCCCATATGTTTACTCTTTAACGTGGGGCTTGTCCACAGTGTGTGGGATCGCCCCAGGTTCCCGGGATGTGAGGCCTTTTTCCTCCTTCTGTCCCCCTGTGCGTGGATGCTCACCCCGCGCTTGGGGCCCAGGGCAGGGTGGCTCTGCTGTGCCAGGGCCTCCAGGCCGGGCCAACAGGCTGCTGCAGGGAGAGCTGCGCCTCAGATGGGAGCGGCCCTTCCTTTCCCGGTCCCGGTTCTGCTTGGGCCTGGAGAGCTGGGGCTCCGGGAGGTTTTCCTCGGGGCCTGAGTCTCCCCCCAGCAGGGGCTCCTACAGAAACCGGTGATGTCATCAGGATGTTCAGAGAGTTTTGGAGGACAGTCCTCCTGTCATTTACATCTGGGGCACCTCCCACCGCGCATCCCTGCCCTGCACGCGGGTCGCGGGAGAAAACCCTGGGCGTCCAGAAATCCAGGGGCTAAGAGGTGATGGGCGGGGAGCATGGTACTCGCACGAGTGGGAGGGAAGGAGCTCGGAGCCAGGCCACGTGGCCGCGGCTGGAATGGTGCCGAGACGCTGCTGCGAGTTAGAATCAGTCCCTTTGCTCTAGGCCAGTGGTTGCCGGCCGGAGGTCCGCAGGCCGCGGGTGGTCTGTGAGGCCCGGAAGGCTGGTGCCCGCTGCCATGCCTTCTGTTAAAATGTAGGGAACTCCCCGGGGATTTAAAAATGGACCCAGTGGAGGGTGGCCCGTTTGGCAACTCACCGCTCACCACTACAAACTTTCTTAAAACAAGCTCAGTGTCCCCTTCTGTGGAAGCAGGTTTACAAACCGCGGGCTGTGTGGGTGACACAGAGGATCTCCCCGTTCAGTCATTTCCATCCGCAGAGTTTCCGGTTCCCGTCCCCGTCGGCCTGGCCGCAGCCGCCTCTGATTCTTTTAATAGAGATTAGATCCTCAATCAGATCATCGCGTAAAATATCCGAGGCTAATGTCTATCCTCTTTGCAAAAGCTACACTTCAAAGCCCTCGTTCTTAAAACGGGTTCCTGTTTAAAGTAGCGTATTATCATTGAAATGGATAAACTACAGGAACATAGACACAAAGGCAGTGATGTACAGCGACTGCCTTCTCCTTGTGCTTGAGAATCATAATGAACCCGCATCCTCACTATTTTACAAAATCCCAGCGTACCCTCTCGCCTTGCTGTGTTCCTCCCGTGAGCTTATGCAAAAATGGACTGTTTGCGTCAGGGCTGACCCCGTCGGTCCTGCACATGAACGGTCAGGTTGAGCGCTGCTTCCGAAAGATGGCAATTCTACGGAAGCCTGGAGGTGACGTGACCGTCATTGTACAGAAACCTCCCGCATACGGCCCCCAGGTACCAGGGCGGCGGCATTCTCTCCTGCTACTAAAGCGTAAGGCCGCACGGGGACTTTCTCGCACCCTCGGCCACGGGATGCCTGACCAGGTTAGCCGATGGGTCTGTTAGGGAGAGCGAGCCGGGAGGGATGGCGGGGAAGACGGGGTGCAGGGGGCGCAGACGCAGCAAACCCGCAGGGGAGCGGCATGAGCAGTGTGTCAGTGTCACAGGAGGACGGCCCTGGGACAGCACAGCTCTGCGCGGCCGCTCATTCTTTCCGTGTAGGCAGCGTGCAGCTCTGTGGACCCCCTTCCCGGAGACAGTATCTCACCCCTGAATGGAAGTGCAGTTTCATCAGAATAAGCGTCTGACTTTCATTCACGTAAAATTGCTGCCGCACCGAGTTGCCCACGTGGTGTCGGAGCCACGGAGGCTCGGTGCCCACAGGAGGAGCGTGCTGGGCAGAGCCGTGGAGGAGGGGTCGCCGCTAACGCGCGTCTGTGGGCATGTCTCTCCCAGGCTGTGCTTTTAAAACTATGCTTTTCTTCATGTCAGAGAGGAAGGGTGAGGGAGAGAGAGGGAAACATCAAGGATGAGAGAGAATCATTGATTGGCTGCCCCTTGCACACCCCCCATGGGGGTTCAAGCCCACAACCCGGGCATGTGCCCTGACCGGGAATGGAACCCTGACCTCCTGGTTCACAGGTCGATGCTCCACCCCTGAGCCATGCTGGCCCGGCAGAGAAGCCGTTTCTTCGTGTCTCTTCCCCAGGAGCACAGGGCGAACTTTAACTGCCTAAAGGCCCCTGAGATGCAAGGGGCCCCCGGGGTTCTCAGGGCGAGGCTGTGGACGGCACTGTTAACCCCCACGCCCGTGATCCTCGGGCAGAGGCCCTCACGTCCTCCATGAGGCCGTCATGGCATGTTGTGTGCTTTGCCCCCAGCGGTCCCTCGCACCAGCGACACCCAGTGCAGCTCGGTGCCCGAGCCCAGGTACGGCCGCAGGATCGGCTCCGAGTTCTCCGCGGGTTCCATCGTGCGGTTCGAGTGCAGCCCCGGGTACCTGCTGCAGGGGTCGGCCGCCCTGCGCTGCCAGGCAGTGCCCAACGCCCTCGCCCAGTGGAATGACACCATCCCAAGCTGCGTGGGTAAGAAGGGTTCCTGGGCGGCGGCCAGGATGGAAGTGGCCCGGAGGAGGCAGCCGGGCAGAGGTGGCTGGGAGGAGGCGGCCAGGAGGAGGCGGCGGCCGGGAGGAGGTGGCCGGCCCCCTGCAGTGCGTTGAAGGGCTGTTGTCCACGCTCTGCGGGCTCCGTCCGTCCACCTTCCTGCAGACCTGGCCAAGGGGCAGTGTAGTTGTGGAAAGAACCGAGTAGCAGCAAACCCTGCAGATTATTGTTCCAGGAAACCACTTGTCAGATGGACACGAGGAAACACGTTTTCCTTCTCAGTCCTTACCCGGTCCACCATCAGCTCTCAAGCCATGAGCACGCACATACTTTCATTTTAGGGGGAAATCATCACACATTGATTTGTGTAATGCCCTTTTATTTATTTTTTAAAAATATCTATTGATTTCAGAGAGGAAGGGAGAGGGAGAGAGATAGAAATATCAATGATGAGAGAGAATCACTGATCGCTGCCTCCTGCACGCCCCACACTGGGGATCAAGCCTGCAACCCGGGCCTGTGCCCTGACCGGGAATGGAACCGTGACCTCCTGGTTCATAGGTCAACGCTAAACCACTGAGCCACACTGTCGGGCTGTAATTCCCTTTTAGTCAGCGTGTGCTGAGGAGAATGTGCAGTGTAGCAGGTGAGGCAGCCCGAGTGGCGACCACGCTGTGTAAGAACCTCCCGCAGAACCGTGATTGGCGCTTGAAGTCATTTGTATGTTTCCAGCGCCCCCTCCCCCCCGGACCTGCTCAGAGATGGCGTTAGCACGGCTGGGAGTTAGCCGCTTGTCTGTGGGTTCGAGAACAGTCGGGGAGCTCCCACACGTGGGGCGTAGATGATCCCATACGCAGGTCCCTGCAGAGCCGCCCTCGCTAAACACGTGGCATCTCGAGGCCGTGACCAGATTTCTCTCCCGACACAAGGTCTCCGCTTCCCGGCATCGTCAACAGTAACCCACGGCATTGCCGATTCGAAGAAGGCGGCGAGATTAGACCTGAGCCAAAAACCCGCTTAAGCCCGCCTGGCGTGGCTCAGTGTTTGAGCGTCGACCTATGAACCGGGAGGTCACGGTTCCATTCCCGGTCCGGGCACAGGCCAGGGCGGCGGGCTCCATACCCAGTGGGGGAGGCAGCAGGGAGGGGGGACGGGTGTGCAGGAAGCAGCTGATCCATGAGTCACTGTCATCATTGATGTTTCTATCTCTCTCCCCCTCGGTCTTCCTCTCTGAAAGCAATAAAAATATGTATTTTTTAAAATGCTACTGAAGGTGTGGCAGTCCACATTAAAGTTCTCTTAGTGGCTGCTCACGGGGAAAGGATGCTCTGCACCAGCTAGCGGGGCCTCCCCGGCCTCACGCTCCCTCCCCGTGTCCCCAGTGCCCTGCAGCGGCAGCTTCACGCAGCGGAGGGGCACGATCCTGTCGCCCGGGTACCCAGAGCCCTACGGGAACAACCTCAACTGCGTCTGGCGGATCCTGGTGGCCGAGGGCTCAGGCATTCAGGTGGGTCCTCCCTCGGCCGGGCGGGCGCGGCCGGGCCCTGGGCGCCTTCTCTCGCCTTGGGTGTTGGTTGGTTTAAACCTTCAAACCTAGTCGGCTTCTCTCTTCTTCCCATTTCTACAAAGGGTCTCTAGGCACGTTTCTGTGTGAAATTCAAACCATAGGTTCTCACCATGTTGACGTTGGAAAGAACTGAGTAGCAAACCCCACAAGTTATTCTTGCTTGAAACCGCTGTCAGTTCAACACGTAGAAACACGTTTGCTTCTCTCTGTGGGCGAACACTGTGTTAATAGCCCACAACCCGGGGCAGCGCCTGTGGAAGTGCCGGTGCCCTCCCCGCGGTTGGTTCTCTTGGCTCCGCCTTCCTCTCGGTCCACACTGAGTTTCATAGAAGCCTCGTTGCCGTGGCCGGTTTTGCACCGAAGACACGTTAACCCGCTGTTGCCTGTGGCAGATCCAGGTCATCAGCTTCGCCACCGAGCAGAACTGGGACTCCCTGGAGATCTACGACGGCGGGGACGCCACGGCGCCCAGGCTGGGCAGCTTCTCAGGTGAGACGCCGGCCCCGGCCCCGTCCCTGTCCCTGTCTCCGTGGGCCAGGTCATCACACCAGCAAACACTGCCCGGCACTGC